AGAAATAATCCGGTGTGAAAACTTGCATAGCATATTTTATTTTATTTTATTTTATTTTTTGGTTGGTCCACCAATAAAGGTATCACTATTTTGTGGGTTTGGGGAATTATTGTAATTTCACTATTAAAGTATGTGACACATCACAGAGCAGGAGATAGCAACCTTTCCAGAGGACATATCCTCTACTCTATAGCCTTCCTTAGAGGACGCTGGTGCCTCAACAAACTAACATTCCCAGAATTCCATGGCAGTTAAAGTGGTGTCAGACTGCATTATTTCTGCATTGCAGACATAGCCCAAGAGCTTCCACTGGGGTCCAAAACACCCTGCAGAAATAAGCCATTTTGAAACCGCTTTACCTGCCCTGGCTCAGTGGTAGGGGATCCTGGGAATTGTAGTTCATTGTGGCCCCAGAGTTCTCTGACAGAGAAGGCTCAATGTCTCACAAAACTATAGTTTCTGGATTATTTCTGCTGTGTGTTTTGGACCTATGCCTTGTTTCAGAGGTGCTGTATCATTAGCCCTGTGATTTTTTTTAAAAAAGTTATATTTTGAGACTCCTTATAATTAAATTATAATCTATTTAGAATTTAAAGCTATACCCATGTTAGTCTGTAGGATCAGTATGTAGAGAGATCTTGTAGCACCTTTGAGAATGACTGAAAGAAAGAAGTTGGCAGCAGGAGCCTGAGAAATGTCGAGATATATAGATATAGATAGATGGATGGATAGATGGATAGATCAGGATGCAAAAGGGATCTTGCAGCACCTTTGAGACTCACTGAAAGAAAGAATTCAAAGATATATAGCTGTATTCGTCTGAAAAACCAGTCTGTAGAGAGATCTTGTAGCAGCCCTTTTGAGACTCACTGAAAGAAAGAAGTTGGCATCAGGAGCTTTCGTAGACTTCAGTCTACTTCCTCAGATGTAGTTAATTAGGGGTAAGCAACCTTTCCCCTTTAAGGGCCGAGGGACTCCAGCTCCCAGAAGCCTCACCATGTTGGCCCATAGTCCCATGTTGGCCAATAGCTCCTGGGATTCTGGGAGTTGAAGTCCCTCGGCCCTTAAAGGGGAAAGGATGCCTACCCCGATTTAGGGGGTTTGCAGACTGCCAGAAATAGTGCAAATTGAGTCCACTTTTAGGGTTAGGGTTAGTGCTAGGGAATCATGGGAATTGGTGTTGTTTTTTCCTGAGACATTGAGCCTTCTCTGTCAGAGAGCTCTGGTGCCACAATAAAATGCAGTTCCCATGGTTTCTTAACCCTAACCCTAACCCTAAAAGTGGACTCAATTTGCACTATTTCTGGCAGTCTGCAACCCCCATTGGTTAATGTATAATTCTAGTAGGGAAGGCTAGGCGTGGGTTGAGTCAACTGCTAGGGAATTCTGGGAAGTGTCGTTTTGTGAGACCTTGAGCCTTCTCTGTCAGGGAGCTCTGGTGGTGCCACAATAAACTCCGACTCCCTATCGCTGAGGCGGCAGGGCAGCTAAAGCGCTCTCCAACTGGGTTAGTCGAGCGAGCGGTGCGTACTG